TTGGCTCTGAATCTTGTTTTTGGAGCAGCTGGGTTGGGAAGCCTCGCTCGTTCGCCTCATGCAACCCCGGCTTAAAATCTGGCTGAGGCTGACCAACCCGAGAGCCAACGAGAATTCAACGTCTTATTCTGTCGTTTCCTGGGCAACTTTAAGATGTTTAGACTCTCCGCTCCCAGAATGCATCCTGGGGCTGGGGAATTCTGGGGAGCGGGAAGCCCACCCGTCTTTAAAGTTGCTGAGGTTGGAAAATACAGCTTTACTGACTTAAATAACCAACCCAGGGACATGACTACCTAGCAAGAAAGGAGAATCTTTGTAGCTCAGGGTTGAAATGAGGGGGTCTCTGGGCTCTCTTGCAGACGTCTCATGACCCAACTAGGCAACATCATCAGTAGCTGGTAAGGAGGGAGGTTTGCTCACCAAACCCCACTCCTTACTACCACTGGTGTTGTCTAGTTTGGGTCATGAAACGTCTGCAAGAAAACCACCGTGCCGAGAGAGCACCAAGGGCCCCTCATGACCACATAACCTTGGTCCAATTCCAAGACCAGCGTCCCCGAAAGACCAAGTCTGTCTGGACTAGTCTTGCCACGTCAAGAGGGAGGACCGTAGCTCTAGAAGCCAGGATTTGCCATGAACCATCCTAAATATTTACTTTTTGTGACCAAAAAGAACTTCTCCAGGAGGTGGAACCTCTGAACCTAAGCTAAACAAACTAAGCAACTGACCGGACAAGCGTCAGATGCTGCAGCTACGTAATCTAGAGCAGGGGTCTCCTACCTTGGCAAGTTTAAGCTTGGAGGACTTCAACTCCCAGAATTCCCCAGCTAGGTCAGGCCCAGCAGGTCAAGAGAGATTTCGGTTGTTTAAGCCAGGGGTCTCCAACCTTGGCCACTTTAAAGACTTGTGGACTTCAACTCCCAGAATCCCTCAGCCATCCAGGAATGATAAGAGTTGGAAGAGGCAAGAAGGATGATCTAAGCCAGGGCTCTCCAACCTTAGCCACTTTAAAGACTTGTGGACTGCAACTCCCAGAATCCCTCAGCCAGCCAGGAATGATAGAGTTGGAAGAGGCAAGAAGGATGATCTAAGCCAGGGGTCTCCAAGCTTAGCCACTTTAAGACTTGTGGACTTCAACTCCCAGAATCCCTCAGCCAGCTTTGCTTTGCTTTGCTGGCTGAGGGATTCTGGGAGTTGCAGTCCACAAGTCTTAAACTTGCCATGGTTGGAGACCCCTGCTCTAGAACGCTGTGTCTTAACTGCAGCAACCTAAAAGATTCATGGACTCCCTTTCCCATCCTGGCTGGCTGGGGAATTCTGGGAGTTGAAGCCCACACCTCTTCAAGTGGCTGAGAAGCATCGGCCTGGATGGAGTTTCCTTAAAGGTTGCGGAACCAGTCTATGCAGATCAACAGTGTGGATGTGCTGGGATCGCCAGTGCGTAACGGGTAGCAATGACTCCCCCCAAAAAAACGTGTCGGAGAGAAAGAAATCAAATGTGGCCAGAAATTGCCGGCCCCGAGACCCCCCCACACCCCCCATTCAGAGGCGTGAGTGGGATGGAGAAAGGAGCTGATCGGTGGATGAAATACTCCTTGAGACACATCCGGTCGTCGCCCACGGCTGTTGCGGTACGAGGACCAACCGATGGGCAGAAAAACTCCCGTTTTGCTTTGGAGAGGACCGAGATGGGAGGCAGGAAACGGAAGCCGAGGCCCCGGCCACACAACAAAAGACGCCGGAAACAACGGATGGCAAGAATTCCCTGGCAGCCTTGTGCTGGATCTCAAAAACGTTTGTGAGCAGTGTCTTTTAGGAGCGTCCGCAGAGGAAGTCCGAGAGAGAACCCTCTGCCGGACAAGAGGTACGGATGGCTATACCTCCGGTCGACAGAAATACTGGAACTTTCTGTGCAAAAACGGGATTGAAGCAGAGGGGAAGGAGGGAAGGAAAGGAGGGAAGGAAGGGGAAAGAAAAGGACGGTTACACCCGGCAGGGAACGATGGTCATCTCCCCTGTACAAAACTGATTCCTTCTGGGGGGAGGTTTTCTCCCCCCTCCCCAAGCAGCCAGGAAGATGGAAATTAGGGATAGGCTGGGCTGGGTCAAAGAGCAACCCGAATTTCTGTCTGGATGGAGGGGGGGAGGGGAGAAGGGGGGAGGACGGGATAGCTCAGTTCACCTTTGTGCAAAATCAGCCCCTCCAAGCACCCTGTGCTCAAACCTCAACATTAAATAAAAGAGTTTGTTAATTAATACTTTTAAATAGCGGAGAGGCCGCCGTTCATCCTGCACTAACGTCGTCGGCCTCGAGAGGTTAGCGGTTAAGGATTCCAACTTGCCACACAGTCAGGTTTCACGGGCGAGGGGGGGAGGGAAGGGGGGGGGGAGAGAGACAACCTGTACACACGTTGAAAATGTCAGAAAACTTTTCCCGTCTTGGTCACGTTTGCTGCGGTGGAGCGAAGGAACCGCAATCAGTTCCACTCCAGTATCCAAGCCGAGCGTTGAGTTAGTGCCGCTTACACGATTGTGCCGCTGGGAGAGCCCCCGTTCTGGGAATTCAGGATCTGAAAAAAAAAAAAAAAATCAAAAGGTGAGGGCAAGGTTTAAATATCCACGTGGCGAGTTATGTTCTAACCAGACTCCCTGAGACCATAATGAATCACACGCTTAGTCCCAACAACTCTCTTTTTATTTCAATGCTGGGAATTATGTTCATTCCCAGCCATGAGACCCCCAGTTCCTCGAGATAAGCACCCACCTTTCTCTCCTTTGAATCGCTGCCAACAACTGAAGGGCTAAATTAACTGTAAAAAGCTAAACGGAATACAGAGTCCCCACAGAGCTTTAAGGTTTAATCCGAACAGAGTGGACAAAGTTGCTTCCTGCAAAGGTCCCTGTCCCTTTGCTCCTCCTCTATGTCTTATGGGAGGGCCAATCATCTCCAAGCCTTACTCCGGAGTTGCCCCTTTTGTCCCAGCTGCTCTTGCCTTCTGGCAGCTCTGCGCATGTGCGCACTGGGAACAGGCTCCCCTGGGTCCTCTGCCTCGCTGCTGACAGATTCTGGAGGCTCCCTAGTCAGCACATAACTCCCAGATGGTCCTGGCCCCATCTCTGCATTGGATGCAGGACCCTCGTCCGAGTCCTCCCCAGACTCCTGGACTGGCCCAGGTTCCTCCCCACTGTCCGACTCTGCTGCCGTCTCCACAGGCTGACGGATGACCACAAGTTAGTCCTGTGGGGTGAATCCGCAGAGGTGAAATTAGTCTGAGCTAGCCATCGGTGCTTCCTACCTACCAATTAATCATGTCACATCTTCCTTCTGGCCTGCGATTCTGGCCTTTTACAGTTAACCAAGCCATCGCTCTCTGCTTATCTACCTGGACAGGATCTAGTGGTCACCGGCTCCACCAGCTGGCTAAGGCAGAGCGGATCTCTGGCTGGAGAATAAAGGCTAAATAAACCCAGGAATGCAACTAGAAATAAAGAGAAGTCAGATTTGCACAGGGGGGAACCTCAAGGGCATCTTAAAGCAGCAGGAACCAAGTACAGAAGAAGAGAATATTTCCTAGGTCAGGGCTGAACGTGGTATCAGGGCACTGATGAAGTTATCTAGTTTGGTCATGAAACGTCCGCAAGGGAAGAACTAGGCCCAGAGAGCACTAAGAACCCCACAGTCCTCCTCCTCCTCCTCTCCCTCCTCCTTAAAGGTTCCTCTTGGACATCCGTGCTAGTCATTCCCGGCTCTAGGGGACGCTGCTCATCTCTGTCACGAAGCCGAAGAGCCACGCTGTCCGAAGACGTCTCCGTGGTCACGTGGCCGGCATGACTAAGCGCCGAAGGCGCCCGGAATGCTGTTACCTTCCCACCAAAGGGGTCCCTATTTTTCTACTTGCATTTTTTAAAAATATGCTTTCGAACTGCTCGGTTGGCAGAAGCTGGGACAAGGAATGGGAGCTCACTCCGTTCTGCGGCGCTGGGGATTCAAACCGCTGAACTGCCGAGCTTTCCTATCGACAAGCTCAGCGTCTTGGTCCCTGAGCCACCGCGTCTCACATCCTCCTCATGGAATCTCAGATTACAGGCAGCCCTCACCATTACTCGTTTAGTGACCCTTTGAAGTTACACCAGCACGGAACAGAGTGAGTTACGACACAACCGTCGCGGCATCCCCGTGGCCAGGCGATCCAAATCCTCGACGCTTGGCAACCGCCATGTATTATTTATGTCCTGGGGCTCTCACAGAGTCGCTATGCGTAACCCTTCCCAGTCGTCTTTCGAAAAACAAAGTCAATGAGCGGAAACCGGATTTGCTTGATGATTGTGGGATTCAGTTAACCACTGTGGCCGGAAAGGTCGTAAAGGGAGGCACGGCTCGCTCCACAATTCCCTTGCTTAGCAACAGAAATTCTGAACTCGACTGTGGTCGTACTTCAAGAGCTACACTGGAAGAAGCCCCAGTCTAACCTACTGAAGAGTGCTGGCCAATCCCAACTCAAACACTGAATTGCCCTTAGACTTATATACCACTTCATGGTGCTTTCCAGCCCCCTCTAAGCGGTTTAGAGTCAGCAAATTGCCCCCCCCCCCAAAAAAATCTGGGTCCTCATTTTACCCACCTCGGAAGGATGGGAGGCTGAGTCCAACCTTCAGCCAGCCAGGATCGAATTGCTGGCAGTCGGCAGAATTTGCCTGCAATGCTGCATTCTAGCCACTGTGCCACCAGGGCTCATCCTCCCTCCATCTTCCTTCCTTCCTTAGCACTTATATAACGCTTCACGGGGCTTTTACAGCCCTCTCTTAAGAGGTTTACAGTGTCAGCCTTTTGCCCTCAATAATCTGGGCCCTTATTTTATCGACCTCGGAAGGATGGAAGGCTGAGTCAACCTTGGTCAGAATCGAACTTTCTGGCTATGGGCAGAGTCAGCCTGAAATACTACACTAACCACAGGGCCACTACAGCTTGCTTCCTTCCTTCCTTCCTTCACAAGCAACAGCACTCAGACTTATATACCCCTTTTCAGGGCTTTTACAGGCCTCTCTAAGTAGTTTACAGAGTCGGCCTCTTGCCCTCAACAATCTGGGTCCTCATTTGACCCACCTCGGAAGGATGGAAGGTTGAATCAACCTTGAGCCTGGTGAGAATCAAACTCTTGGCAGTGGGCAGAGTTAGCCTGCAATACTGCATTCTAACCAGAAGGAACTAAGAAGGGAGGGAGAGAGGAAGGAAGGTCGGTTTACAGAGTCGGCCTCTTGCCCCCAACAACCTGGGTCCTCATTTGACCCCGCTCGGAAGGACGGAAGGCTGAGTCAACCTGGAGCTGGTCAGGATCGAACTGCTGGCAGTGGGCCCAGTAAGCCTGCAAGGCTGCATCCTAACCGCTGCAGCCACCAGGGCTCTTCTCGCTCTTAAAGGAGACTTCCAAGCGATAAGTAACCCAGCCGGAGAGAGCCGCGAGACCCACTTACCGCCTTGCCTGGCCTGGCCCAGGTGCAGATCAGGCCTTCCTGGCAGGCGGTGATAATACAGTCCTCCAGGAAAAGCAAGACCGTCAGCCGCTCGTGGGCAATCTTCTTGCACACCAGGGGCTCCAGCAGGGGCACCTCATGGATGCGGGGGCACAGGGCCGTGCCCAAGACCTTGGCCGTGTCCAGCTTGCTCTTGGGCACCACGTTCAGCTTGTCGCTGCTCTTGCTGATGTTGCCCAGGCTGTGGTAACGTTTGTGCTCTTTCTCCGCGTTCTTGTCCCTCCGCTCCTGCAGGGTGAGGGTGGCGAACTTGCCGATGCTGAAGGGCACCGCCCCGTCCGCCGCGTGGCTTTTGGCAGCACTGGTGACGGCCGGGTGGGGCAGGCTGTTGGAGCGGGAGAGGGAGCGGGGGAGCGGGCCCCCTCCGCCGCCCGACTCGGCGGCCAGGTTGCTGCCCCCGCTGCCCGAGGGAGGGATGCTGGCGCCGAAGGCGTTGGTGAGCGTTCGGGTGCGGGTCAGCAGCGGGTGGGGGTACAGGACGTCTTCCGTCAGGTCCCAGAGGCAGAACTGGGTGTCCTGCCCGGCGGAGCCGAAGCGGTAGGTGACCGAAGGGGTGCTTTTGGCGCTGTGCTTGGACAGGTGGGAGAGAGTGCTGCTGGTCCTCACCCGCCCAAACTCGGACGGGTCCTGGAGGTCCTCGTCGCTGCCACTCAGCTCCCCGCTCTCCTCGTCCTCCGTGCTGGTGGTGTAGGGGTCGAAGGCCACGGCGTTGACCCAGGACTTGTGGCCGTGGCCCCGGGCGATGACCCGTCCCTCCGCAAAGGACCACACCGTGACCAGGTCGTCCTCGCCCCCCGTGACGATGTAGCGCCCGTCGGGGCTCCAGCAGACGCACAGCAGCCCCCCAAAGTAGCTCTTCATCATGCCCTGCAACAGCATGGAGTCGAAGTGGAAGACACGCAGGCAGCCGTCTTGGCTGACGCACGCCAGGTAGCGCCCGTCGGGCGAGAAGGCAAACTCGTTGAGGGCCCCTTCGCCCACCGCCCACTTCAGCAGGGGGTTCCGGGCATTCTTGCTCTTGCAGGCGTAAACCGTGAAGCCCTCGCCCTGCTTGAGGAGGGTGTACTGGGGGGTGGCCGAGACGCAGGGCTGCTCCACGTTGTACAGGTACAGGTGGCCGCTGGCGTGGGAGGCCAGGAAGAGGCTCTCCGACTCGGGGATCCACTTCACGAAGGTGACCTTTGACTTGTCGATGAGCCTCTGGGGGAAATTTGGGGGAGGGGGGAGGGGGAAGAGACAGAAACAAAGGTGAAAAAGACCCTCAGGGGCCTCTCAGCCCCCCCACTCCAATACCCCAATTGCAGGCAAATTCTGAGCACGCCTGAAAAAGATCCAGCCCATTCCGTATTCCTGAAAGGGACCCTGATTTCCAGACAGAGATCATCTAGAACAGGGGTCTTCAAACTGGACAGCTTTAAGGCTTGTGGGCTTCAACTCCCCGAATTCCTCCATGTTAGTTCCGGAATTCTGGGAGTTGAAGTCCACGAGCCTTAAATTTGCCAAGTTTGAAGGCCTTTGCTCTACAGAATTTTAAGGCCAAGCATCTTTGCTACCTTTAATTTTAAAAAAATCCTACAATGGCTTCCTTGAATATTTGAAACAATTTGGAAATCCCAAACTGAATGGCTGAGAGCTGCCAAGGGGGAGAAATTAAAAATGCTTCCAAATAGGAAGGTTTGTGTGTGATTGTGTGTCCCCGGCTGCTGCACTTGACTTTTGTCTAAATCTGAGGTCTCCAAACTTGGCAACTTTTAAGGCTTGTGGACTTCAACTCCCAGGATTCCTCCCCCTCCAGTCAGGTTAGTTCAGGACTTCTGGGAGTTGGAAGTCCACAAGCCTTAAAAGTTGCCAAGTTTCGGAGACCCCTGATCTCGGCGAATAACTCTGGGCACCTTACAATCCCCCCAAAAAGACATTACAAATTAAGAACCTTTCAAAACAATAATAAAGACAGGGCAAAAGCACGAAAAATATCCAGGTTGTCCCGAATGCCTGCTTCGCGTGGGGAGTTTTGTAGATCTAAGCCAGCAACAGAGAGATGGGATGGATTGGAGCTCCAGCCTACTGGATCCTTCCCTGGAAGCCACTCCGTGCAGGAAAAGGCGATCCCATTTTAAGTCTCAGAACACCCAGGAGATCGCAAGGCACCATGCAAATTTGAGGGATAGTTGCTGCTTCTCCAAGGGCACGATTCCACCCACGGAGCTCAAGCTTTGAGTCATCTTTCTGTCATAGCTGCAAAACCACAAGCTGTACAGTCTGAGAAGGGCTGCAATAAAGCTGCCGCTTGATTGATCTGCTAATTAGAATCAGTAGTGGGAGGAAGTCATTAAGTAGAGACTGAAAACAGGGGAGTCTTTCCCAGATGTTCTGCTCTAGAAGTTGCGTAAATCCCAAGCAAGCAGCAGCCAGAAATGTGGGAAACGACAGTCTCTGATTCGGAGATCCAGAAGCTATTAGCTGCCTGATCCCACTGAACGGAGCCAGGCTGAGCCGAAAGATCCCCAGGTTGGTGGTTTTCTTGCAGACATTTCACGATCCAGCTAGGTAACATCACCAGTGCTAGAAGGGAGCGGGATTTGTTTATTAATACTGGCTTGCCCTGTAAGTGTTGGTAGAAATGTTTTCTTGGTAGTTTCCTCGATTATTCTGTGTTTTTACTGTTTGAGTAGGTAGTTCTTTGGTTGAGGTATTGTTTACTGCTGGATGGGTGGTCTGGTGTTGAGTTTGGTGTTAATCTCTGCTCATCTAAGTGTTGATAAACAATCATTACCAACAATAGTAAGCCATAGTCAAATCAAGGCACCACTAAGAATACTACTACCAATACTGACAGAGCAAGGCACTGCACATAAAAAGAAAGCAAACCCCATTCCTTCCTAGCACTGATGATGTTACCTAGCTGGGCCATGGAACGTCTGCAACAAAACCTCCAAGCTCAGAGAACACCAAGGACCCCAGAGACGACCTCCTCCTCCTCCTCCACTTCCTTCTTCTCTTCCCCTGCACAAACCCCACTCCCTTCTAGGACTGATGGTGTTACCTAGTTGGGTCATGAAACGTCTGCATGGACACCAAGCTCAGGGAGCACCAAGGACCCTCCAATTCCACCCTGAGCTACAAAGATCGTCTTCTGTAGGTCAGCCACGCTCCCCTGGACTCACCTCCTCGTTAAATAGCTTACTGGTATCTTTCTTGATGAGATCCAAGTATTGCACTTGCCCAGCTGAGAAGCCAACCAAGAGGGAGATGCTTTCGGAAGCCGCCGTGAACTGGTTGAAGTCGTGGCAGGTGGGCTGCGTCCCCTTATAGATCCGCTTGTCGATGGGTTTCTTCAGATCGATGGACTAGGAAGGTCACGAAAGACGAGAGATATTTAAAAAGCAAGAGGCCAGGAGCTCACATTAAAGAAAGCTGGTCTCTGGCTGGTCCTTTTTATAGCAGCCATGAATAATTCAGGCTTGCCCGTTGTCAGTCAAAAAAATTAGATTCGCTATTTTGACTGTTATTAATGAAAGAGTTCTTTATTGGCCAAAAAAGCCCCCACTGGAGGTTCCAATTTGGGGGAAGCTTCCTTGCCAGGGGTCAGTGGAGATTCTCAGTCCTCCCATGGTTGTCCCAAAGGGGCTTTTTCCCCCAAAAGGAAACTTGGACTTTCCTGGAATTTTTTTTCCCTTTGAACTGAAGCAAATCCCAAATCCTTCTGGCACCCCCACACCTGGGTGCCTCCATCTGCGCCC